CGCGGGCCGAACCGGTGGGATCAGCACTGAGCGGGCCGGACCCCGACAGAGGCCCCACCCCCAAATGGGGGCCGAGGGTTGGGGGACGGAAGGCAGGGTCTGGGGGCCTCCACGGGGTTCAGCTTTCCCGCCTCAGGTTTCTTGAGCGCCAACGATGTGCTCAGCGTCCAAAGGCAGAATTGGATACTGTCTCTCTGGGCTAAGCACGTGGAGCGTGTTTACCAAGTGTTGATTTTTGTTACCTGCATTCTTCCCAGGGCCAGCTCTACTACCAAATGGAGGTGGAGCGGCAAGTCGCTGCCCCTCATCAGGCCTCAGTTTCCCCTTTGTACGACACAAGGGCTGACCGAAGTAGCCCCACGCGTGCTGAGAAGCGTGGTGGGGCACTTGGCCCGCCGGGCGGAGGTTTTCCCGGATGTGCTAGGGTGCTTCCTGCCCCCGAGGGGCTGCGGCTGGCGCGATGGTCGTGGGCAATTACATTTATGTGCCCTTCCAAATGACTTGCCACTTTGGGGCTTCCTCTCTTGGGAGTGGGTGTCTGCGGTTTTGGAGCGAGGGGGAGGTGGGTGCCAGGAGGCCCTCTTCTTACCACATCCTGTCACCTGGAAGGCCGCTAAGATGAAACCATCTAAAAAGAGGACCAAGAATTAACAGAGATAGTGGAGGGAACCTTGAGTATTGAGACTACGTGGAAAAAGAAACTAAAAATGATCAAGATAAGTTAGTTTGAACCCATGATTAACAGTTGAGACCTGTCTCTTTGTTCTCCTTCATAAGATGTTGAGGGGTTTTGGTTTTTTGGTTTTTTACAAATTGAAGGTTTGCAGCAACCCTGTCTAGAGCGAGTTTCTTAGCACCAACAGTATTTTGCTTACTTCCTGTCTCTGGGTCACATTTTGATAATCCTCAATATATTTCAAACCTTCTACCAGCAAAAAGATTACAACTCGCTGAAGGCTCAGATGATGGTTAGCATTTTTGTTCAATAAAGATTTTTAAAATAAAGATAAGTACATTTTTTAGACATAATACTATTGAGCACTTACTAGACTGCCATATAGTTTAAACATAACTTTTACATGCACTGAAAAGCCAACAAATTCATGTGTCTCACTTTATTGCGATATTTGATTTACTGCGGTGGCTTGGAACCAAACCGGAAATATCTCTGAGATATGCCTGTGTTTAGGTTATGATTGCAGCCATGTACACATTAGAATGAACAAAGAATTGGCTCTTTGCAGCAAGAGGATCATTTTGGCAAAAATATTTGAGGGTTTCACACTCAAGGCTCACTCTGAATCCTTTGATAGTCAAATAATTCTCTCTGAAATTTCCTGGTCACTTCTCTTACAGAAGTTCTCTTCCTCTGTGGTCAGTGTCTGCTCCATTTTCATAGCATCACTTCTGTCAACTTCATGAAATCCCACACTTTTTGCGAGATTTGCAGTTTCGCTTATCACCATTTGCATTGTATTTGCATAGGTAATGTTGATAGCCACTGACAATCAGCTAGAGACAGATTTTGGTGGGAATATGTGGTGTCTGAGAGGGAACTAATCTATAAATGTTGCAGTGGCTGGCCTTTGCTTCCTGTGTACTTTGGACCTGTGAGATGCAGATATTGAGCATTCAGAGGACTGGAATATCCCCATTTTAAATCTGGGGAAATGCTCAGGGAGGCTCTTGGCTCAGACTTACCCAAAGTTTCACAGGCAGTAAGGACAACCATGGACCAAGAGCCGAGAGTTCTTTCCCAGAGTTCTGGAGGTGGCGATATGGATAGAGAAAGTGGAGGAGGCTGAGTTGATGGTGAACCTAAGCTCCCATCATGTCATCACAGTTGGGCCCTCCCTCTGAAGAGAAGCAGCGAAAATACTGTCTTAGAGGTGGCTCTTGTAAGAAGCGGGGTAGGAAAGCTGCCTGCTCATGGAACCAAGACGTGTGCTGACCATAAGCTTGCCAGTTCACATGAATTAACTCAGTTTTATAGCCATCTTTTGAGCTGGATGGTGCCACCACCATCTCACAGTGAGAAAAGTAACAATCAGAAGACAAGTGAGAGGCTCAGGTCACACAGCTAAGAGGTCTGAGAGCCCAGGTCTGACTTTCAATCTTATTATTCTCACTTCTGTTCTTAAAATCACACCTCCAGCCAGCTTTCTAGATGCCCTGCTAATCTGGTATGAGCTGTCAGTGGCCTCCGAGCGGTTTCTTTATCCAGCTTAGCACAGTAGAGTTTCTGACTGAGGCTGTGTTCCTATATCTCGCACTTCAGTTGTTCTCTGTCCTGTCTCTCTGCCACCACTCTTTGCCATCAACACATAGCACTTGTGCCATTATTTACTTAGCATTTTTCTTTAAATTATTTCACTTTTTTAGGACATATATGTATTTCAGGCTAAATAGGAAATCTGTTGTCAGTTGCCATAAATAGAAGAAAATCATAAAAATAAATGTCATGCAAATAAACATCATCAATCTAGCTAGAAACTTTCTCTTTGTTAAAAAGGGATACAATTTGCATACCCATGTTCATAGCAGCATTATTCATAATATCCAAAGGTAGAAGCAACCCAATTGTCTGTTGGTGGATGAATGGATAAACAAAATGTGGTCTATACTTTCAAAGCAATATTATTCAGCCTTAAAAAGGAAGGGAATTCTAATATACTCTACAACATGGATTTAACCATAAATCATGTTGAATGAAATAAGCCAGTCACAAGCCCTGGTGGTTACCAGGGGCTGCAGGGAGTAGGGAATGGGGAGTTACTGTTTAATGGATACAGAGTTTCAGTTTGGGGAGATGGAAAAGTTCTGGAAATGGGTGGTGGTCATGGCTGCACAGCAATGTGAATGTACTTAAGTCACTGAACTTTACACTTAAGAATGGCTAAAATTGTAGATTTCATGTATATTTTGCCACAATAAAAATCATTAAGAATCAGATATCTTAAAAAAAAAAGAATCAAATATCTTGTTTTCTATGTCTAATAAAAAGTTGAAGAATGAAAATCAAAAGGATAGAAGGCAGTGGTAGAAATGGATTAGACACAATTTAGCTCTAAACGGATGCTTCTTCTAGATGCCACCAGGATTGAGAAAGATTGAAAAGGAAATGAACTTTTCCTGGTGTGACTCAGTTTATCTGTTGCCCTGTTGGGGATGCCACTTACTGCCCTTGGGCTGATCGCCAGGGGAACCATGCCCCACGTGGAGAGGCTCTTCACTAGGACTGGGGTGTGGTTCTCCCAGGGTGGCTTGCCTCCTCCGTGCCTGGGCGACTGAGCAAGGGCCTAGCATGCCTCCTAAAGTGGAAGCATGTGGAATGTTTTATCGGGGAATTGGAGGCAGAGAAGCCTTCCCAGAGGAGACAGGACTTGAGCTGGGCCCTGAGTGATGGAGAAGAGCTGGAGCACCACCCAGGTATGTACATGTAACAGCAGGAAGAGAGCAGGGAGATGGGTATGGTTATGGCAGGCACTTCCCGAACTGGGTGGAAGTAGAAATTGGATGGGACTAGACCATGAAGGCAGTGGGGAGCCACTGCTGGCTTTTGAGCTGGGGAGTGTCTTGGCAGTGAGTTCCAGGATCTGCAGTGCAGGGCTATGTAACAGTACCCCCAAATGAGGTGGGGCACAGTGAGGCTATTACAGCTCCAGGATGGAAAACAGAGGGATTTGGGGTGAGTAGGGCCTCCTCCTGGGTCCTGGAAGCAGCTACTCGTGTTGCAACCCTAGAGGTGGTCAGGAGACCTCAGAAAGGAAGGGCCTGAAGGTCAAGGGCTGGGTCATGGTTGCAGAAAACCGAAGTTCAGAGGAGGGCAACAGTTTGCCCAAGTCACCCGGGAATGTGGCCAAGGAGTCAGGACACAGGTGCTAAGGTGTCCCTGCAGCTGGGGTGGGGAGCCTGCATGTGTGGACTTGTGCTTTCCCGAAATCTCTCTGCCCTGCAAGGAGCAGCTCCCCTCCTTCCTTTCACAGAGGCCACCTGAGCTACTTGTGGGCTGGGCTTGGGTGGATGCTGCAAGGGCCCCAGTGTCGGGGCAGAGAGGAGGGAGACCATGTTGGGACCTCCCTGGTTTCTCCCTGTTGCTGCACGCCCGTCTCACTCTTGGGGGTAGGCAAGCACATTCCTGAGTCAGAATTTTCCCAGGGATTCTGGATGGGGCCCAGGCAAGAGATAGTGCCCTGTCTCCCCACCCACACACAGACACTTCCCCCTGTCCCTGAGGGTTCTGCAGAGGAAGTGACTGGTGTAGGACAGGCTTGTCCAGACCTCGGGCTCAAAGAGAAGCTGGCCAGCCTTCTCATAGTTTTGGTCATGTTTTCTGAGTTCTGCTGCCAGTGAGGCCTTTCTCCAGAGGGCTCTGTGCTGGGTAACTCTGGGCCAAGCCCTTTATCCTCCCTGGAACTCTGGACCCCCCTCCCCCCACCATCTGTGAAATGAGGGCTTTATGGAGCATTTCCGGTGACTGCAGCATCACCTTTTATGAGCCCCACCACCACCTCACGAGGTGGTACTGTCATTATCTCCATTTTACAGAGGGGAAACTGAGGTTCAGAGAATTTCAGTCACTTGCCCAAATTACCCAGCCAGGAAGTGCTGGGCCTGGTATTTCAACCCAGGCAGCTTGACCCAGCCCTGGCCTGAGATCTTCGCCATTAACCATCTCATTGATCATCAGGTCAGGCAGGGATCATTCTCCCTTTCCTACATACAGGTGGGGAAATTGAGTCTAAGAGGTGACATCTCTTGCCCAAGGGCGCAGAGCTGAGGTGGGTCTTGAACCCTGCTGGGTGCTGTGTTGGCCTGCCCTCCTCCCTCTCCCCTGCTCTCCCTCTCCCACCGACGCCCAGCACCTCTGCAAATGTGTAGCTGCCCCAGGAAATGCTACAGACCCTGGAGGTTTGAGGTCAAGGGATGAGCTGGGCATGGCCAGCACCTCAAAAGAAGCAAAAAGGCTTCTGCCAGTGAGAGGAGAAGTGAAGTCAGAGTGTGGGGTGCGGGGCGTAGGGTGAGGAGAGCAAACAGGCGCTGGCAGCCCAGAGGTTCTCGACTTCCCCTTCTTCCTGCAGAAGGCGGCGGGAAGGCAGCCAGACAGCAGCACGGCACAGATCAGCCGCTCTGGGCCTCTCCCTGCCCCACTCCCCAGAGGTTCTGTCCTTATCCCCGGAACTAGTGACATCCCTGGAGCAGCAAGGTAGGTTTTTTCCCTTCACCAGTTCCTGGGCCCCTGGTGGCAGCTCCAAACCTTGAGAATGGAGAGATTGATGTTTTTGAAAAAAGGCAATTTAAATTAAGGGGTGGTTAGGCATAGGGTTCAAATCTTCACTCCTCTCTAGGTGGCCTAGGGCAAGTTACTGGACTTTGCTTTTCTGGACTTCATTTCCTCATCTGTGAAATGGGGCTAGTCCAGC